GAAGCCTATGAATCACATGTTAGAAGAATATTGCATAACCTAGGAAAATGCAAATGCAATACTTGAGTAAAGCAAGTTATAAAACAGCATGTGCATTATTATTCAAAGTTTGTTTTAAAAAACACATATGGGGGTAAGAAAAATACTGGAAGAATATAGACCAAAAATAAACAATGTTTATTTCTAGGAGTTAGAATTACATTTAAAAAAATTGTTTTCCTTTATTCTTCATTTTATTTTTCCAAATAGTCACCAACAAACATGTATTATATTAATGATAAAGAAATCAATTCAATTTTTCTAAAAATAATGATAATTCACACCAGAGAGCCTATCTGAAAGCTTATGAGGTGATAAACAATGGCTTGGATTATTTTAAGAGTTCAGCCACATCTGATGCTGGATATAGACTGGAGTATGTATGGTTATGAAATTTATGTGACAAATGTTCATGCAAGATATTTTTTTTTGCAATTTTTCTTCTAACTCAGAATTTGGGGTTAATAAAATGCACTAAAATTAGGCCTTATAAAAAGTTATTGTTTTAAAAATGTAAATTCCCAAACTTTCTAGGACTAAAATGCAATATACTATTACCACCAAATTAATGTAGGAAAGAATCTGCATTTTATATATACTTGTATATTACACTGTGTAGCTCAAACTGTCTATAACCTGCTAAGCAATCTAACTTCTAATGACTTACTCTATGAGATTACAGTAATGGACCTTTTAAACTATTTAAAGGAATTATCTACAAAATGTCTATAATAAATTATAATTTTTAGTTTGTGGCCATTTAAATGAAAAATAAATGTTATTACTACTGAAATGATCTACACCATTGGTTGGCCAGCCTGGTCTGGTTCACCACCTTTTTGGGTATAGCTTGTGAGCTATAATTTTTTAAAATATATTTTTATTGATTTCAGAGGGAGGAAGGGAGAGGAAGAGAGGGATAGAAACATCAATGATGAGAGAAAGTCACTGATCGCATTGATTGGCTGCCTTCTGCATGTCCCCTACTGGAGATCAAGCCGGCAACCTGGACATGTGCCCTGACTGGGAATCAAACCATAACTTCCTTGTTCATAGGTCAACACTCAACCACTGAGCCATGCTTGCTGGGAATTTTTTTTACATTTTTAAGTGGTTGGGTAAATATAAAAAGAAATTAATATTTTATGAAATGTAAAAATAATATAAAATTAAAATTTTGATGTCTACAAACAAAGTTTTACTGGAATATGGCCACACTCATTCTTTGACATCTTATCCATGGCTGCTTTTGCACTACAATGGCTTCTTGAAAGAATTTCGACAGAGACCATAGGCCTGAAAAGTCATTAAACATTTACTAACTGATCCTTTACAGAAGAAATGTTTTCAAGTGATTCTAAATTTTCTTTGTATTTTTTATCATCAGTCTCTAGATGTCAGAAAAGATTCTCAAACTGGGGTGGGGTTGGGGGTGGCAGGGACTACTGCCCTATAGAAGATATTTACTTTTCCAATAAAATCATCCCCTAAAAGTTAGCCCTTCCAATAGCACAAAACATTTACTTCCATGTGTTCTATTAATAAACCAAAAATTAAACATCTAAAAAAATCAAAGTATTCATTTAGTCTAGAATTAATATCTATACTGAAATTTAGCATTTATTCACTCCTGCCTAAAACGAATATTATGTAAAGCTACACCATTAAAGGGGTTTCTTTATTGAAGTACAATCTATATATATAAAAGGCTAAGTGTCCATCCGATCGGTAGCTATGATGTACACTGACCATTATTAGGGGGCAGACGCTCAACGCAGCAGCTGCCATGGCGTGCACTGGCCATTTAAAAATAAACGGCACCACGGACCTGGCGCCCACAAACCAACACTCGGCTTCCCCCAAGTGGGACACAGGCCCCACCACCACCCCAGAGCGACATCCCACCAAATCGCAGCCAACTCTGCCAAGACTACATGGCACAAAATGCAGCCCACAGCCCCGCCCAGCCTGGAAACAGTTGCTGTGGGTGCCAGGTCATGACATCATGTAGCAACACCCGGCTTTCTCTCCCTAGCAACTAGCCTCCTTAGAGTTTCTTCAGCCCAGGAACACGACTTGCCAGGTGCAAACATTTTACACTTTAACCAAATGTCTGTGAAGCATTTTCCTGTGCCTCATCTCATTTGATCCTCACAGAAGTCCTGGAGTAGGTAGATAGGAGACTTGGTAGAATCCTATTTTCTTTTCATTAGCCAGAAAATGGAGATTTAGAAAGTTTAGAAATTTGACCCGACTGAAAAGAAGTAAGAAATGGTGGACCTTGAAAATGACTTCAGGTTTTCTCATTGTGCAGAATATAGTCAAACACTGCTATAGTTAAATATTTTACCCTTTGTTCTTCCTGCATGATCTATAATAACAATCTGCTTTTTGTTGATATTTACTGCTGTTTTGCTGGCAATTACCTAAAAGAGAAGTTGGGGTGCTTCACTGGGCTGGAAAAAGTTTAGCTAAATGAGAAAGCAGGTCTAATTAAGCAAGTTCATTCTATACATATAAAAGGCTAAGTTGACTTGTGCATGAGCAACACATATAAAGATCTCGCTGGTGCCAATCGCACGCATGTGTTTCAATCTGTCATTGTCAATCGTAAATTTTGTTGACACTTCTATAATAGAGAAAGGGCAAATAGCGATATTACAATATTTCTTCTAATTAATTTCCTTTCAATGTGCATGAATCCGTGCACCAGGACATTAGTTAACACATAAAATCATAATTTTTTAAAGTGTACCACTTGATGATATGATGTAAGTATACAGTGTAAAATGATTACCTCAATCAAGTTAATTGACATCAATCACCATCTTACATAGCTCTTTTGTGTGTGAGAATGTTTAAGATATACTCTTTTAGCAAATTTCAGGCATACAATACAGTAATATTAACTATAGTAAACCTGCTATACATTAGATTTTCAGAGCTTATTCATGTCATAATTGAGTTTGTACTCTTTCACCAGCCTCTCCCTCTTTCCCCCACCCCACTGACCTGGCAATCACCATTCGACTGTCTGCTTACAGGAGTTCTTTTTCATTTAGATTCCACATATGTGATACCATACAGTATTTGTCTTTCTCTACCTGACTTATTTCACTTAGGTACCTATAAGACTTTCCAGAGACATATCAGAGAGAAGAATTCTGGCACAGTCTTCACTTCATCCTGACATTCTCGCCATTTCTCTTTCCTTTTCTTTTTTCCATAACTTTTAATTATGAACTTTTCCACACAAAAAGAAAATTTAAAATACGGCAATGAATAATCCAATGACAATGACCTAGTTGAAATAACACACTTTCTCTCTCTCTCTCTATGTATTTCTCCCTCCCACCTTCCTTCCCACCCATGTTTGTCAATAAACTAGTAGAAAGTTACAGAAATCATGACATTTCATCCCTAAATAATTCACCATGTATCTCCCAAAACAATGACATTTTCCTGTAAAGCCACAATACAATCATGTACCTAAGAATCAACAAAAATTCTATACTATCATCTCATAATCAATGAATATTGAAATGTCCCCATTTAACCTCAAAACTTCTCTTCGGGGCTTGTCATTGAAGGAGGATGTAACGTAGAGTCATATTTGTGCTACGTTTAAAGAAGACCAGATCATTTGCCTTGTAGAATCCACATTCTGGATTTTTCTGTTTTCCTGTGGAGTCATTTAAATTACTTTTCTACCTTTTATATTTTCTGCAAATTGGAGGTTAGGTCTAAAGCAGTGGTTCTCAACCTTCCTAATGCTGTGATCCTTTAATACAGTTCCTCATGTTGTAGTGACCCCCAACCATAAAATTATTTTCATTGCTACTTCATAACTGTAATTTTGCTACCGTTATGAATCGTAATGTAAATATCTGATATGCAGGATGTATTTTCATTGTTACAAATTGAACATGAGCATAGTGATTAATCACAAAAACAATATGTAATTATATATGTGTTTTCTGATGGTCTTAGGCAACCCCTGTGAAAGGGTCGTTCGACCCCCAAAGGGGTTGTGACCCACAGGTTGAGAACCGCTGGTCTAAAGGCTTAAGAATATGATGCTGTATACCTTATATTACATCACATCTAGAAGTGTAAAATGTTGACCTATCCCATGTTTGTTTATGTCATTTTTGATCAATTAGTTAAGGGGTTGACCACCATTGTAAGGGTTTGATTTTTTTCCTTTGCACTTAGCAAATAATTAGTGAAAATATACTTTGTCATTATTGCAAACATCCTTCATTCCAAGAACCTTTTTAAGTAATGGTTTTAGTTTGTAACTAGAAACAAGTATGTCATTAAGAATTGATGAGTAGTAATTTTCTAATTCTATTATTCCTTTCCCTTTCATTAGCTATTGTTATTCTGTAAAGAGGAGTTTTCCCTCATTAACTGAGAATGGCTTAGAGTTCCTCCAAAAAGTCAAAGTAAATGCTGTATTCTTTATCTTTAATTCCCATTCTCACAGTAAGGAGTATGTGTAATTGTCATCTTTATTTGACACAAATTAGATTTCTCTCTCTCTCAGCATGGACTCATGTATTTTTATTTTTAAAATTTTAGAATTAATGATTGACTATTTAATTGATTGATTCTCAATATGTCCTCCACTTGGCCTTTGAGAGCTCCTTCCAGCTGGGTGCTTTAAGATGCTGTCATTATTCTTTGATATGAAATGTTTTTCCTGGATCTCTTTCCACAGCTGAGACCATGTATCTGTCTCACTTGGTACAAACAGCAGCTTCCTTTTTTACTGTCCCAGCAGCACCTCCATCTGAATGGATCATCTACTACTTCCTAGATTGTGCCAATCAATAAATTTACTGCTTTCCCATCCCTAGAAGAACCCCATCCATCAAGAAGAACACCTGCAAATTCAAACAAAGTCATATAAGAGGGCCACCTCCCCTTTAATGTCTTAATGAGTTTTCATCTCTTACCTTGCATAGTAGTCATTGGGTGGAACTGCTTCTTGAAAGAATTGGAACTGGTATAAATAAAGTCCAATCAAGTGTCCCGCAGTGAAAATAGCCAGGAGAACACAGAGACAGCTGAACAGCAATGGGTCGAATGTCCGGCACCAGGACCACCAGGTGCACAGACCCAAAAATACAAAAAAGTAGACAGATGAGGTCAAAGATGGCAGCATCATACCTAAGGAAGAAGAAAAACAATCATGAAAAATTGCATTGAACTAAAAATCATTTACTACTCAGTAACTGCAAGTACTAGAGATTATATAAATTTCTTCCATGGGTTTTAGGTATTGATCAGGTTTCTAAAATAATCACATTTTATTTATAAAATCAGAATCAATGCTATTTTTATTATGAAAAAAGTCATACACAAAGTGATATTTGTAAATATGGGGAAATGCCAGATGAGGAAGAAATTCTACCTATGGTATTTGAGCAGAGTAAACAGCTAATCTTCACACCAGCATACTTAATTGCCTGTTTCCATCTTCTGTTTCTCCCTAAAAATTTTCAGGAATACTGTATGTCCCTTCCAACTTTCCCGATACCACTTTTAAAATAATGATTTAGCTTGTTTTTTAGTTAACTAGGATTCATAATAATATTACATTCTGTGGCAGTTAAAGTTTCACTAACATGTTGTCCTACCAGACGAAATCTGATTTGCACTATCACCAAAAAGGGAAACGTAAACGAAACAATTCCTTTACAGGCATTAAAAATATTTCAGGGGAAGTGGT